TCCTTCCCGCGAGGTCCGCAGTTGCTAGCGTCTTCCGCGATGCGCGAAAAAAGCACGTGCACAGCAGTCTGGAGCACCTGTCCGTGTCAGTTTGCTGTTGACGCTTGCCTGGCGACGCCAACCAGGCTCGGGTCGCGTGCAGAAGCGACCAGCGCCAGCTGACGTCTGCTCTTCGGTGCAAAGCTTGACTAAACACTGTTCATGAATGACTCTTGAGAGCTTGAATTTGTGCAGGTGCGCGCTTCCATCCTTGATTATAGCTTGACATCTGCTGGCATCACATTTGATTCATTATTTCGAGACCAACTGCCACTGGAAGGTATATATATATATATATATATATATATATATATATATATATATATATATGTACATATATATGTATATAAGTATACCATTCTGTTCCGCAGCCGGCTATCTGAACGCTCGTCATTCCTCCTTTTTCGTTCCCCTTAATTTATAACCCAATTCGACATTCTAATGAACGGCACGAAAAAACGAGGCGTGCACTTGGACAGGAGCTTTGTCTGCCCGCAAATGCAACCACAGCATCGCTACCTTCAGGCGACGTGCTGGACATCAAACATGCGCTGTATGCATCATCTTGTTAAGGGAATACGTTTAAGGTATAATTTAACAGCCCGCTTTGGTAGCGAGGAGTGTAGAGCTGCATTCTTTGAGGAGGTTATGCCCTTCTCAACGTGAATCTAGCCTTCCAGTGTAGATTTGGGCGTCCAATGTTTTGTAGGAATATGAAAACAAACGACGCAAACTCGAATACACACAAAACTCGTATTCGTTGGAAATAATTTCATGAATACCCTGATGTGAAATAAGGGGCTACCCGATAAATGATGCAAAACTAAGAAGTGAAAAATACCGATCGTCAAAATAAACCGTTTAAGTTCGTTGAGGGACATATTTTGGAGAAGGTTGGGTTGCCGGACCCTCGCCTTGGCTCAACAATCATTTTCACGAACCGATGGTCTTGATGAAAGCCCAGAGCACAGCGGCCAACGACCTCGAATTGATGCATTCCAAGCAACGCTGGCACCCCAACGAGTGCTGACAGTGATGATTTCACCTAGCCTTAAGACACACACCGCAAGGCCTCGTTCATGAGAGCTCACCGGCGACCACGAAATGCATTACCGATCAAGGACGGCATCGATGGCGTCGCCACAGCTCCTGCTATGGGGATGGATTTCGCATGCAACGCGCGTGCTCGGCACGGATGCTGCAGGTGGCAGCGTTCAGCCGGACCGACCGATGGGGGGGGGGGGGGGGGGCAGCGGCGCAGGACGCGTCCCGGTCCCAGCGCTGGACGAGACGCAGAGCTCGCCTTGTCCCGGTACACTGAACTCGGTGTCACTCTGACAGCGGGTGGTGCTGAGTCGGATGATGACTGGGGTACAGTAAGCGCGGTGAGACCATATGGCTCATCGTTGGCCTGCGCGCAGACCTGCCATCCGTGCGACCCTGGCGTTTGTGTCCTTCAAAGCAGGTCCAAGGGACTTACAGGCCTCGCAACATGCATTGCACGCAAGAAAATCACACAGGAGTATGCCACACCATATGCGATCACCACGTTCTTTGCACGATTTGTGTTAAGAGAAATACAGATCACCACTGTACACTGGGCGGCCATGTACAAGTACTGACAATGATGAAATCCGTGTAAGCCATGTGATGTGCACCTATTCCTTAAGCAGAGGATCATTACGCATCCAATGTATCCTCATCGCGTACATCCCCGCAGCTCATGATGAGGAGCCGTATTGGCACATATAAAATATCTTGAGCTATGATAAACTGATGACGTACAATTATCCTTACAACCAATTCATCGAACAGTTAGGCAAGCAGAACGCGGTCGGATTTGGGTAAACTTTCCAGGCTGCGTAGTCTGTCCGCTTCGCTAAGCACTCATCGTGAATGAAACCGGATGTGGTGTTCTCTATTTTTGAACACCTCATTCCATCCTTCCTCCGAGGGTTGCTCATAGTTCTCTCTATAATTATTGAAACTCACTGGAAGCGATGACTGGATCTGAATCGTTAAATGACTGGTTTGGGGACGGAGTGTGACTGGATTCGATTTGTGCAACGTGCAGGCTGCATACCATTGCAGGCCTCACAATGGATGTATGTGACACGCATAACTGAACTTTTGTCGAGAACACAAGTTGCTGAATCGGTTATGCAATTGGCTGAAGGGAGTGGGACAGAAATCCACCACACATATAAACATCTCTCCTTTCCGCAGGTCCGCTGCTTATGCATTCTGAAACTGTACTGGTTTATTTCCTTAAGATCGTTGTGATAATGATGCGATCTGTAACTAGATTTAGAAGATAAATTATTGTCACGGACCTTGCTGCTGTCTGCATTCATTGCTTTCATTATTGACGAAACAGTGCTGGGGAAGCATGCGCGATAGCAAATACACATTAAAACATATGTCCTCTCTTTGATCCGTTTTGCTTGTTATTGTGATGGTAACGGATTTCGAATCAGAGGGTAAAAAGTAGGCAGCGTATACTTTTTATTTCACACAGCTGACCCCTCTGATTTCAAAGACGATCATCGCTGCAATTCACGTCGTGATGTGTCGTCCAGTTTACGGGATTACTTAATTATCACTGAATAGTGAATGCTGTGAGCCGGTTTCGGTCATAGCCAACAATTAAAAGTCAGTTCCCGTTTTGTTTCCGTGTTCTCATTTCCATCTCCTATTTACTCTTCGTAAAGGTTCACACGCCGGCTGAAAGCGTCCCTGCCTTGTGAACATGTGAGTGCTGGCACACCTGGCGAGCCGCGCGGGAGCAGCGGCGGGCTGGCCCAGTTGGGTGTCGTGGGCGGGCCGCGACGCACGTGAGATCATTTGTTTACGCCCAACAGTTGGTCTGTTTACCACCGCCTGTCGGCGCGGACCCGGCAGGAGACCAGCCGAGTCGGAGCCACCGAGCTGGAGCGAGACGCCAGGCGACGAGGTCTCTTTCGCAACAGGGAATATGCGGACGCGAGGCAACCGACCCGACAGGCGATATATGGTGACAAAACGACCGGAGACATATTGCCATAACGCCGCAACTTAGTCTGGACACATGCTCAGCTGAAACTGCTGCTCACGTAGAGAAGGTGTGCCAGACGGCGGGCCCGGCGGCGGCGTGGCGACAGCTCGGCCCCGTATCGACTCGGCCCGGCCGCCGACGCGCGCTCAATGGGCGGAGACGGCGATTGGCACGACGATTCACGACTTCCGTCGAGCCAGCCGCTGCGCTGTCAGCGGCGACGGGCTTCGTCACCCGACTGAGCCCGGCTAATTTCGTCCGACGCGACGCCCCCCCCCCCCCCCCCCCTCCCGGCTCTTTCACCCTGACGACCGCGCTCTCCCGCACGCGGAGGCCGGTTCTGCCGTGAGGGTTCGTATATCGCTCGCCTGCAGGAACTCATTTCCATTCGTCAGATTGGGGCTAATTATGTCGCCACACCGCTATCTTCGCCGCTCTGGGACGGCGCAAGGGTACCACGGTCGGCTGGAAGGCGGTGGGGGCAAGGGCACGGCATGTGTCGGGCACGGCAGCACCGCCGGCCCAGTGTTCAGGCCGGGACTGGGTCGGTGGGGTTCTGAGGGCAGGGGAGATCTTGCGCAGCCCGCGGGTGACCCTGAAACTGGAAAGTAACGCGATATGTTGCAGGCTTTAGCATGGATTGAGAGAAAACAGAACAAAAAGGCATGCTTTATCAGAATAAGAGCAAGTTTACGTTTCCAGATTGGGGAGATGCTGGGAAGAGCGAGAGGTGACTGTAGAGGAGACGCTCGCGATAATGTGCTGTCATTAACGTCACGGCACCGTGCAAGCTGTCAGATCTATGTACCCGTGCTCTGAAATACTATACACAATGCCACGCAGTGTCGAAACAAGACGCCGTCGCCGCCGGTGTCAGAAGGTCGGATCTGAAGCTATTTAGACGCTGAATGTCTTCGGATGTCGCAAGGTCCCAGTGTGGATCTACCAGCCCGTCACGACGTCGTCGTTTGGATTTCGCCAGGAATGCGCAGACTGCTCTATCACCGGTCTGCATGTCGCAACAGCGGCTTTTCTTACAGCAGCAGCGGATACCTTCTGCCCGGCAACGGCGACCTTTGCATCGAGAACGCATCGACCACGATACGGGGCTCCCCGCGGAACCCTGCACCGTTTGCCGGCCGGCCATCTGCCGTCACGTGCGGAATGTCGGGCCATCTCTCAGTGGGTCACCGAGCGGCGCAGCAGCCGAAAAACCGCACCTTGCCACGCACCTCAAATGAAATCGCGCAGACCTGTTTGTCGGGTTGTGTATGCATGAGCAAGCAAGCATTACTCAGCTCGAGCCGGCCCTCGGCACGCCGGCGGCAAGGCCCGACGCCGGATGAAAACGCAGTTGTTTAAGCGTGACGTCGGTATAATTGATGCGAGCTCGTTTCGCCAGAGCAATTGGACGGCGCGACGTCGCGGTGGCGCAAGCCGAACCGGCCGCCGGCCCGGTGGTCCGGGTCGTGTTTGCTCTTTGACTTTTACTTTTCGTCGCGTTTTCTCCGCGGCCCGGCGCGGATGTCAGTCGGTCGGCGCTCTGCTGGCGGTGTGCGGCGTGTCCCGGTCGGCAGCACGACACCGCGAGGCTCTGCACTGAAGCCGGCCCGATGCAGCGCGAGCCACGGGAGACGGCGGTCGGAAACCGCGGCCCGCGCTCGGGGTGGAGGCGCTGATGACGTCAGCGTGAGGTCACAGGTGTCGGCGAGAAGCCACGCGAGGCTCAGCGAGCAGTGCGAGGGCGCCGGTGATGTCAGTGTGGAATACAAGGTCGCAAGTGATGCATCCAAGGACCCAAGAGGCACGGTAATTACAAGTGGGTAAGAATACCAGCGTCGGAGATTTAGAGATCAGCCAGGTGCCGCGCGGGGAGAGACGTTTGTGAGATCCTCATCGGAAACGATAACGTCAGTGAATAGCGGACATGACGTCAACGAAGCGTGACAAGTGACATCATGCCGAGCGTTGTCACCAGACAGTCCACGCGGCCGGAGCCGGAGCCGGAGCCGAAGTCGGAGCCGGAGCCGAAGTCGGAGCCGGAGCCGAAGTCGGAGCCGGAGGCGAAGTCGGAGTCGGAGTTGGAGTCGGAGTCGCGGCCAGGGCGGCTGCTGGGCCGGGCTCTGGCAGCGCGCGCGCGGGCCGCCACCAGCCGACCCGCCGAACGCGGCCGTGGTGCTGGCGCTCGGGCTGGATGAGTACCTGGGCCTGGTCTACAGTCAGCTGGCCGGGCCGGCCGGCGTCGGGCGCGCCGACCTGCACCGGCTCTGCGCCCTGCTGGACGGCCGGCCGCTATTTCCGGCCGACAGCGCCGACGTCGGCGCCGACGCCGGCCAACCCCGCGCTCGGTCCGGCTGCCTTCCGGCACGCCGTGTGCGCGCACTTCGGCGTGACGACGGCGCCGCCGGCGGTCGCCAGTGCGCCGCTGGTCGACGTCGAGGTGACGGTGGTGCGTCGCGCCGGCGCCGTCGACGCCATCGAGAGGGCGCTGCGCACGGCGCGGCCGCCGGCCCCCGCCGCCGCCGGTCGCCGCAGGTCGGGCCGCGGCGAGCGACGGCCGCCGCGCGGCGCCCCGGCCGTCAGCGACGAGGCGGCCAGCCTGCTGCTGCTGGAGCGCGAGCTGCAGGCCACTGCGCGAGCTGGTCGAGGACCTGCGCCGCTCGCTAGCTGTCTCGGACGCGCGCAACATCGGCCTCGAGCTGCGCGCCCAGCAGCAGCTCGAGGAGCCCACCATGGGCCGCTCAGCTGAGAGCGACGCGCCGTGCGATGGCCACCGCCCGCTCCCACCTGCCGACGCCGCCGACGCTGCCGATGCCGCCGACGCCGACTCGCAGCGCGGTGAGGGCCATCGAGGCCGAGACCAATCGCTCCCTGAGCGAGGCGCAGCGCAACTTTGACGCGCTGATCCGTGAGCTGCGCGCCATCAGCGAGCCGCGCGCACCCTACCACCCTGAGCTCTCGCTGGAGGACGAGCTGGAGCGCACGCACGAGGCGTTGCGGCTCACGCAGTCGGACCTGGAGCGCTCGCGCGCGGCCGTGTGCGGCGCGCGCGGCACACTGCGCGGCAAGGATCGCCAGGTGCTGCTGGCGCGCCAGGACCTGATGGCCGCCGAGGCGGCCGCCGCCAGGTGAGGGGCCGTCAACCCAGCGGGACGCGGGAAGACCATGGCGTCGGCCATGTCGCCGCCAGGTCACCGTTCCATGTCACGCCAGTGACCGACGCAGATGGTCGACCGCTGATGCTCCTGAGCGGCGCATGTGGTGTCGTGTTGGAGAAGGGGCATTCTAGGGAGACGCGAGGTATCACTCCAGCAAGAGTGCTTTGTTCGACCTTTTTTGCATCACATGACGTATGCATTACATTACATCACAATGGTCGCCTTTTTATTAAGAGGAAGTTCCCTCCGTCTCTTTTGCTTTCTCACCAGCCTGGTTTTTCGCAGTACGTTTCACGTCAAATGCGAGTTTCCGAAGTGGAAATTGTCAAACGAGAAAGTGGCTTGTGATATAATGTCAGCAATCAGCGCTGTAACATTTGCTGACACCATTTATTTGGCCCTGCTACCTTTTGCTTTTGTCCCTTTCCTCATCCTCAGACGTTTATTAAACAAATGGATGCGACTGATTATTTTAATAGCTGGAAAGAAAGGTTGCCTTTTCTCCAGCTTCCCGACACATGCAGCACAGTATCAAGATATTGCCGTCCCTTGCGACCACTTTCTCGTTTGGTACACTGTCACAACCTGCAAAGGTAGTGAGACGCGCGGAGATGGGGAGGGGGTGAAAGATACTCAATGCTTTCATGTCTTGTCTGATTACCGAACGGTGATAATGCACGCAATTAGTTTAAACATGCAGTGCACATAACTCACTCTTGTTGCCATTAATTGCTCTTAAGAGCGGTGTGTACAGTGACGGGTGATGTGTGCAGTGTGGACTAGTGTATAGTAAGGACTGGTGTGCAGTGTGGACTGGTGTGTGCAGCACGAACTGGTTTGTGCAGTGTGGACTGGTGTGTGCAGTGCGAACTGGTGTGTACAGTGTGGACTGGTGTGTGCGGTGCGAGCTGGTGTGTGCAGTGCGGACTGGTGTGTGCAGTGTGGACTGGTGTGTACAGTGCGAACTGGTGGGTACAGTGTGGACTGGTGTGTGCAGTGCGTACTGGTGTGTGCAGTGTGGACTGGTGCGTGCAGTGCGGACTGGTGTGTGCAGTGCGGACTGGTGTGTACAGTGAGGACTGGTGTGTGCAGTGTGGACTGGTGTGTGCAGTACGGACTGGTGTGTGAAGTAAGGACTGGTGTGTGCAGTGCGGGTTGGTGTGTGAAGTAAGGGACTGGTGTGTGCAGTGTGGACTGCTGTGTGAAGTAAGGACTGGTGTGTGCAGTGCGGACTGGTGTGCGCAGTCCGGGCTGCCGTGCCCGTGAATGACTTGTGTGGGCGTGATGACACGTATTTGCAGATGTGATTCATGTGTACTGTGTACGGGTACGACGGTACGTACAGCAGCGGCTCGGGTATGCAATGAGAACGTGTGCGTGTAATGATATCCGGTAGATACGATGGTGCCGGTGTATTAGTAAGGCCCGGTTGTATGCAGTAACTCCCGATAAATTTCAGTGAGACATGGCGTACGCAGTAAGTTCTAATGCACATGCGCTGAGGACTGGTGAAGCCTCTTACCTGCAACGATATCTGTATATACAGCATCTCCGGTATATACAATAAAATCCGGTGGGTACAGTAAGGTCCGGTGTGTACAGCGCCCGTCCAGCACAAACGGTGATAGCTGATGTGTGCAGCATGGCAAGACTATACAGCGAGGTCTGTGTATCCAGCAAGGTCCGTTTTACATGCCCAGCAGATGGTGTCGGTGTTGTGTCCAGCAGCCCACTTTGAGCAGGGTGCCACCGTATGCACCTCAGGGTGCGCTTTGTCCAGTGAGTCCTGATATAAGCGGTAACGCCTGGTGTGCACGATTGAGCACGCTGCCTGAGGAGCGACGCCCGGTGCATACGGTGACACCCTGCTAACGCAGTGGCGCCTGTGTGACCTGGAGTGCGTGCCTTCACACAGTGATGCCCGGTGTGCACGCCAGGACGCGGGATGAGGTGAAGCTGCTGCAGAGCGAGCTGCAGGCGAGCCAGCACCAGCTGGAGATGGAGCGGCTGGCGCACGGGCGCGCCGACCACCAGCTGGACTGGACTCGAGCCCAGCTGGCTGAGCGGCAGACGGCGCTGGAGGAGGGCCGCACCGCGCTGCGCAACCTCCATCAGTCCAGGTCAGGGCAACCAGCCGGACACCAGAGCCGGTCGCTGTCACATAGTGGCGCAGGCAGGGGAGGCACAGGGGCACGTGCCCTTTCTTGGGCCTACATTGTCCTACGGGCCATTTAGGACACGATTTAGATTATGGCATCGGCCAATTAAATGCATTGTAAATATAATGTAAGGGCCGATTTAAGGGCTTGTTCTGGGCCTGATTTAAGGGCCCAGGGCGTTGGCCAAAGAACGTATTAAGGGTTCCGGTCCGCAGGGCCGGGCCCTAAAATGCCAGTCTAAGGCCCTTTGCGCCGATTGGGGCTCTCCTGAGTCGATAAAGCCCTCTTTGGTAATCAGGCACCACCAGCACCAAATTATCGGCTGCGTGTCGGCTTAGGCCTGCGGGCCTGTTTATTTCTCATGCAGGAATAAGGCCGGAACCCGCGAATCACAATGGTCGGGCTCCTGAGTCAATGAGGGGCGCCCTGTGCTGGCCAGCAGCCCACAGTGCCTAGCAGGGATCCTTTATTGGTAATGGTCCCCGAGTCCGTCAGGCGAAGTGGTCGAGGGCGCCCGAAGAGGGCCCAAGTGTCCCTCAGGACCAGCGATCAATTGCCCGATTTTATGTGGAAGGGCCCAAAAGGCCTAAAGGTCACATTAAGGACACCGGCTCTATGAGCTGAGCTTCAAATGCCAGCCAGAGGGCCTCTTGCACCGAATGGGGACACGCTGAGACAATGCCGGCTTCTATTTCGGCCAAAGACCACCACCACCGAACAGTTGGCTCCGTGTCCGTGTGAACGCTGGGAGCCCACTGCCCAGGGCCGGAGCCCGCACTTTGCACTGCTCGGGGCCCCTGAAACACGAGGGACCCCTGTGTCGTTTCGGGGCCCGTAGTGGCTAACGGGTTCCTGCTCGGAAGGGATCCGAGTCGGCCAGAGAAGTATTCACTGAACCGGCAGAGGGACGGGACCCCGAATGTCAGAGAGGCTAATGCGTTGGTCGTGGCCCTCTAACAAAGAAAGGATAGATGTAAACCTATGGCGAGAGTCCACAATAAGATAACGGGAGGGCCCTGCGTTAGTGACTGGTCCAGTATGGCGAGAGTCCACAATAAGATAGCGGGAGGGCCCTGCGTTAGTGACGGGTCCCAGTACCGAACGAGGGGCCTCCACCCTGTTTACCTATGGCGAGAGTCCACAATAAGATAGCGGGAGGGCCCTGCGTTAGTGACGGGTCCCAGTATGGCGGAGTCCACAATAAGATAACGGGAGGGCCCTGCGTTAGTGACGGGTCCCAGTACCGAACGAGGGGCCTCCACCCTGTTTACCTGTGGCGAGAGTCCACAATAAGATAACGGGAGGGCCCTGCGTTAGTGACGGGTCCCAGTACCGAACGAGGGGCCTCCACCCTGTTTCAGGCAAGGAGCCGTCAACCGACCTGGAGTCTCTTGGTCAATTAATTGGACCTCTTATGAATATACTTCAAACAATTAAATATCTTATTGCTTCAATAAGGGTACCTGCGTCGACCTGGGGTCAAATGCCCGGGTCGGAGGGCCTACGGCGTCAGGCAGGGGCCAATGATTGATGTATCCCTCTATGGACTTCCATATCGACCAGGGGACCGCGCCCTCCCGTGGCCAAAATGACAGCTGGCAGTCACTCCACGCTGGGACGGGATGGTACTGCAGCCCCTGACCGGGATCGGTAATATCCCCGCGTGTTCTTTCTACCTATGGGGGACCCCTTGACTGGAAAAGGTAGGGGTCTCATAGGCTTTCAATCGAGTGGACCGAAAGGAAGTTTGAAATGATAAAAGATTTACCCTTGCTTGCCTGAAGATGTCCATCCTTTTCCAGAATCGACTAGTGTAGCAAATGACGTAAACAGTTTTGAGTCTGCGCGCTCGCAACATTAGGGGCGAGAACACCTATTGCCGGGTTTGCAGTTTCAGTACAACCGAGCGGCATTGGCCGCTGCAGTTCAAACCAGGCGGCGGGTGTCGGGCGCGCGGGGACGACCGTCTGGAAATAATGCCACCGAAGGAAGGCTTTCAAAATCAATTTGTGCTCTTTAAAGCTTGAATGGGGCAA